GAGAGAGAGAGAGAGAGAGAGAGAGAGAGAGAGAGAGAGAGAGAGAGAGAGAGAGAGAACGAGGGAGAGGAACACGGACGACCGCATTCGCGGGAACAAACGCGTTCTAAAGGCGATTCGAGAGGAGGGCGGCCGGCTATAACGGTGAGTGGGTGCACGCTGAAGCGCGGGGGCTTAATTAATTAGCCGGATACTTTGAGTAACAATCCATTATTACATACAAACATCCTCGGCCCCGGGGCCGAGCTGTAGCTTTATGCTGCTAATTGGCCTTCTCAAAGCTTGGAGACTCGGGCACGAGTTATAAACGCCACTCCTCTAACTCGCCAGCACCCCGACTCCGTACCTCCTGCCACCATCGCATCCGCCTTGGTTCTCCACCCCTTCGCGTCCTTCTCTCTCTCTCTCTCCTCTCCCTCCCCTCTCGCTATCCCTCTTTCCGTTTGTTCCAATCCGTCTCTATCCTTCCACCACCCACTACTCGTACACGGGTTCCTCTTTTCTGTACAGGCCCGCGCGTTCTCCACCCATCCGTTCACTTTGCTATGCACATAAAACACATACAAACGCGCGGATACGGATACGGATACGGATAGGGAATACGCGAAAGCTGAACGCGGCGTAAAACGCCACACGCACGTAAAAAGCTAGAATGACGAAGTGTTGGTGGGTGGAAGGGCGGATGGTGGGAACGAAGAGGAACAGCTCGTCGGAGGGAGGAACGGGGCAGTGGGAGAAACGGAGAAAGAACGCGGGAGGTCGAGGAAGAGCGAGAGGAACGACGGATAGCGCTAATAACGCGCTCGTGGCGCAAAAAAAGGAAGAAGTATAATTGCCAGCCCTCGTGGCAGGTATTTTTCAAATAGGACCCCGTCCGTTAATTGGAGGGCAAATTAAAGAGGCGCTGCAGAGGAAAAAAACATCATCCCTGTATGGCGTATCCCCTGGACCCCTCTTACCGTGTCCCACCAACACTGGTATCCGAGAAACGCCTCGTGATTCGTCAGACGATCTGCGCGCTCAATTTTTTTTTTTCTCCAAATGTATTTCTTCCTCTAACGACTCTTTCCCTCTCCTTTCACTTCGGCAACACCCGCGTTTGCTCCCAGTTCAATTGACAGGAATGCACCGAGAGAAATTCGTCGCGAGGTGAGAGGGTGCCTGGACCAACGAAGAAGAGGCCAAGCTTTGCGCGGAAGGGAAAGGAACCGCCATCCATCGCGCGATCAAACAGGTTGATCGAAATGCGAGATCGTCGACGAGAGAGGTTCTTTCTAACTCCGTTTCAACCCGCACCCGATTCAACTTTTCACGTGTGCACGGTTATTTGTCCCGCGCGCCCAATATCGAATCGCGATCCAACGTTGCACCGCGGTCGTTATATCTGGGGCCGGGCTGATGAAACGTTAGATAAAATTAAATTAATCCCGTCAATTTACCGTCCCATTATTTCGCGACAATGCGCGACGGTATATTGGCGACGGGCCGACGATACCCGAGTCTCAACACCCGACGATTCTGATTTACGCGGCCACTCGCGCGAGGAGAAGAAAAGTCCTCGCGCAAGAAACGGCTTACGCGAGATCAGAGATCGTCGTCGTTCCGAAGGTAACGCAATCGTAAAGTGAAAAGTTGATTTATCGGCGAGGGGCGACGCGTAAGCGTACGCGAACGAACGGGGGTGGCGGTTGAACGCGATACAGGGTCCATCGTTTCCACGCCGACTGTCTTCCGGCTCCGGATAGGAAAGCGGGAGAGCCAGGCGCGGATACGAGGGGGAGAATCCGATCGACGGACGAATCGGCGACGGATACGAGTTTTTATTCGGTCGATATAAGAGGCACCCTTCCGAGATTACGAAACTGCCCTAACAGCAATATGGGATAGCCTACCGGCCAACCGAGCCTCGTCCCGGATCGCCGCTGCGTCGTCCCGAGATACGCTGTCGCTATAGGGACAGGGCTGCCGGCTGGTTTAATAAAAATGTCAAATATAAAGTAGCCGGCGGGGACGGACGTTTAGGAAATAAATAAATGTAAAAGAAGCGCAGAGGCGAGGGGAAAAAACCGTCTCCGTGCCGCGAGGGGAAGTGGGTTACGTGTCCGAAGAAGAGAAAGAAAGAGCGGAGAGAGACGGACACGTGGTTGAAAGGGAACATAATATTCGAGAGGACCAGACGAAATTGTCTGACAAAGTTTAAATAATAGCACCCATTATATGTATTTAAAATATTTCACCCAACTCTGCTCGTTTATCGATTCGATTGCGAAAGCGAACCTAAATATTTCGAGTCGGATGGAACCGAACGGGAATGCACCTGTACCGTGAAATCTGGATGAAACGAGTGGTTGGAGAATTCGAAACGAGGGGGAAACTGCGAGGAGGAGTATCACGCTCGGATACGAGACCCTGAAACGGAACGCACCCTCTTCCTCGTCGAGTCACGTTCCGCATCTTGCCGGGTGTCCTTCGATCCGTGGATGGAGAACGCGTAACGCAGACGACGTAGCCGGAGAGTGTACGCGCGAAACAGGGTAGGGAGCGAGGCGCAGGATAGGGCCGAGTACAGGGCACGACGCCGACGCGCTGCATAACACGAGGCGGCAGACACGACTGCAATTTCGGGGTTTAATAATGATCTCAGCCGACGGCTCAAAGCTGTATCCCGTGTCATTATACTGTGAAGTGGAGAGGCTGCTAATTAGTCATTAGCGTAGGAAAAAGACACCTTCAACGGGCTCGGTAGCAGCTGCAGGACGGACGGCAACCCCATCCGACGACGGACGGTGGTGCACAGGTACGGCAAACTTGAGCAAACAGGGTGTAGCTTCTAGCCTACGTCTAATTGGACCCTAGCGACATAAGTTCTGCTAATTGAGACCAGGCCTGTAACTATCAGCCGCGCGACAAGGGCCTTCGTAAATTCGCCGAGATCGACGTCGACGGTGGCCGTGCGACGCTCGACGCTCGCGCACACACTCTACTCTCAGCGATGACTACGCAAACACGACATGCTTCCCGTCGTCTCGCGAAACGTTCAACTTTCGCGCGGGAAGAATCGGTGTCGCGTTATTTCCAACTCTCCCTCTTCGTCAAGGGAAAAGGAAGACCGCTTCGTTTGAAACCACGTTGTTTCGTGTTGTGCGCTACTTCCGGTCAGACGGATCAGATGAAGGGTGAACTTTTTGACTTGGAAGACTCGCGATTGATTTTTCACCGTTTTTAACGAGACTTCAACGTTTACTCTATTTTGCACTATACGTTCGTACCTTCGAGATGGCCTTCGTTGAACCTAATACTTTTCGTCCGCCTGGACGTGTAACGCTAATTTGCATCGTATCTACACATATATTTCATGGTCTACAAGTTATTAGATTCGCTCCAGTACGCGCGATACAGTTTGCGACCTATGACTAATTGGAAGTCGGTAACGTAGCTGCAAGTTTCGCTAATTGAGACGACCAGTTTAGTAACTACTAGAGAGCGCACCAAGGGCGTTCTCGGGGAAAGGAAATTTCTCAAGGAGAATTCGAATCAACCGGCGAACCTTAATTTCGCCCACTCTCCTTGCTCTCCCCGGCTCCTCGCCGCCATCCTCAACACCCAACACCACCCGCCCGCACGCGAGATTAACGTTTAATTAAGCATCGGCGCTCAACTACGGCCACGCCGTTGATTTCTCGAGTCATAGTTCCCGCAGATATCAAACGAGATCGCCGTCCTCGATCCGATTTCGTTCGATTAGCAAACGCTAATTGCGGAACTTTAATCCGCGTAATTATAAGCCGCTGAGTAGCGCTGTCGGAAAATTTCGCGAATCACGTTCGAACGAACGAAACGTCTCGCAGATATCGACGTTCAAAATAATCGAGGTAAACGAACTAAACGAAGTAAACGAGGGAGAATAACGCGAAACCGAAGCGAACGATGGAGGACAAGAAACGCGATCACGCGGCTCGTCGAGCGTCCCTTCCGCCCTACGGAAAACTCCTCGAAATTCGAACAATGGTAGGCCGGGAACTAAGAAAACTTGGCTAAACCTGTATCAATTTCTCCTGTATCAATTTTTAACATCATCCCATGGAAGAGTGTCGCATGCTTCTGAAATCACCCTGTATAAAATTTCAGGATTGTTCGCCGAGAAGCGAGTTTCACCAGGTTTCCTCGATATCAAGCCACCGTGCAACGGTCAGCGATACGTTCTCGTCAATGAATCTCGAACTGGAAGACGTATAACGTTTCGGAGCGGCCGCATAACGAATCTACGAGGAAAGAAAGAGCGGCGAGTCGTCGGCAGAGGAGGGAAGCAAAGGACGAAGTGTTCGGGGTCGACAGAGAGAAAGGGGAGGCAGAAGGTAGCTAGAGCCAAATTTTAATTTCGTCCCTAACAAGGGAAGGTACGGCGTAGGGTGCTCCTCGGCCCCTTCAGGACCATGGTATAACATCCTACAGAATCATTATATCGCCAATTAGAAGATAGCGGAGCTCGCCGACGCCTAACAAGCTTCC